AACAATTGTTCACCAAACATCACTAGCCCAACAGCTAAGTGGACTGTGTAAAGCTAACTAACTCAGTTGTATATTTTGCCAACTTTTTACTTTGTCACATGAATATCTTTTTAAGATAAGAGGACGGAATATATTTTATTTAACAATTTGCTCACTTCATTTATAATTGTAAGCATCTAGACATATGGTATGTGGGCCCTCATTTGGATTCTCACCATGGATCTGCAGTTTCTAAGAACAGGCCTTAAATGGAGAGAATGTGTTTTTCCCTGAATGTCTGGGCTGGTTACTTTTACTAACACTCACAACATGGAAGCTTGCATGTTGTGAAAGCTAATGAATTAAGATTTTAAAAATTGTGTCAGAAATACAATGGCTTGACAGGGAAATGCTCACTCATGGTCTCTTGTGCATTTTCATGCAGATGTCAGCTGTCTGAACCCTTTCTCAAGGCTCAGCTGAGATGGTTCAGGAAAAGCAGCTCAGATAAAGGAACTAGATGCTGGCTATCAGCCCCTCCTGAGGAGAGACCTCTCCTATGCCACTTTAGCAGAATGGTGCTGGGTAATTCAACTTCTTCTTCTTCCTCCTCCTGCTCCTCCTTCTCCTCTTTCTCCTGCTGTTCCTTTTCCTCCTTCTCCTCCTCTTCTTCCTACTTTGAACTTTATTTATTTAGTTGTTCCCATCCTCTCCTCCTGGTTTCACCCTCCCTCCCTATTCTCCCTTCCCCTATCCCCTCCTGCTCAGGAAAGACCCCCCCCCCACTAACTCACCCCAGAACTTCAAGTTGAATCAAGATTGAGCATATCCTCTTTCACATTGGCCTGGCATGGAAGCCCCATCAGAAGGAAGTGATCAAATACATACAACAGAGTCCATATCAGAAATAGCACCCGCTCCCCTTACTAGGGTACCCCAAGAATACCAGGTTTCTCATCAGGTATATATGTGTAGGGGGCCTAGATGCGGTCTATACATGGTCCTGGGTTGGTGCTTCCGTCTCCACAGGCTCCACTGAACCCAAGTTTTGTTGGCTTTGTTGGTCTTCTTATGAAGCTCCTGTCCACTCTAGTTCCTTCTATCCTTCCCCCAACTTTTCCACAAGGCTCCCTGTTGTGGAAAGCTGCTTGTTTGTCAGGCTGCTTTGTTATTGAGTTTTCAGCAAGAAACATGTTTTCACCCTGGCCTTCACCTGGAGACAGAGATAAGCAGGATGTTTTGCCAAGTTCCTTCCCTTTTGTTTGTGTGAGGAGCACACAGACAGGTGGTTAAAGTAAACAAGTGTGACTTCTCGATGAACCCTTTCATTGTATTGAGGTGCTTTGCTCTAATTAAAGAAAAGGTGTTGTGGAATAAACCAGGTGTGACAGTTTCTACTGGCAGCCCTCTCAAACTAACCTCATCTGTAGTGTGTTATTTTTTTGTTTTCTTTTATTCTTCACCCCCACTCAGTTCCACTCTGCCAGTGGACTCTGGCACCCCGTGCTCCACCCAATCTTTAGCTGTGAGTCTCAGCATCTGTTTTTATCCTTTGCTGGTGGAGCCTCTCAGAAGACAGCTATGCCAGGCTCCTGTCTGCAAGCATAGTACAGTGTTGTTAGTATCGGGGGCTGGCTGTCTCTTATGGGGTGGGTCTCAGGTTGAGTCATGGGTTGGTTGGACATTTCCTCAATCTTTGCTCTATCTTTATCCCTGCACATCTTGTGGGCAGGGTAAATTTTGGGTGGAAGTTTTTGTGGGTAGGTTGGCATTCCACCTCCCCCACTAGGAGTCCTCTCTAGTTAGAGGGTGCCCTCTTCAGTCTCCATAACTACCCCATCCCCTGCTGCTATTAGCAGTTTCAGCTAGAGTCACTCCCATATCCTCCCTGGAGCCTACCCTATGGTAGGTATCCAGCCTATCTCAGAAATGCCCTCTACATTCTCTTCTCTCTGCAAGCTTTCTGTCCTCTCGTCCCTGCTCTCCCCATATCTGCTCCCCATCCTTGTTTCCCCATCCTTGTTTTTCTCCTCACTCCTGTTCTGTCTCTTCAACTACTTCTGCTGCCTATTCTATTTCTCCTTCTGAGAGAAATTGAGGGCCCTTGGTCCCTCTTTGTTACTTAGATTCTTTGGGTTTGAGAATTATAGTATGGTTATCCTGAACTATAAAGAAAGAGAGGGCTCTAGAGAAACAGGCCAATGTCTTCAGCCTTTTATCATCAAGTCTTGGATGTAACTTGGCATGAGTTTCAATGCATTCAGACTTTGCCAGCCAACCCAGACCCACCCTTCATACCATCACAATCATCACTAGTCTGCCCACTCCAGCAGCAGCCCCAGCAGAGGCTTTCCCAATTAACACACAGTCTCTGATCAGAGGTCCACCAGAAATGTCAGGAAGCAACTTAGTCAAGAGTCCTTATACAGTTTTTGTTGCTATAATCCTGGATCTAATGTAGGTCCAAGTAAACTTTCTAATTTCAGGAAGATGGAAGCCAAGCCAACTTGATGAGAATCTGCTCCAAATATCCAACTTCAGCCTTAGCCAATGAGACAATAAAACAGAAATTTCCTGCTTTCATATTACAGTCATGCACACAGAGAAAAAAATTGGTGGGGGTGGAGGGAAATCTAGATTCTTTGTATGGAGCAAAACATACTATTTGTCTTTTTTAGTCTGGCTTCTGGCATTTAACATGATGATCTTGAATTTCACACATTTTCCTGCCAATGTGCTTCATTATAGATAATGCTCCATTGTGTGCATACCACAGTCTCTTTGTCCATCACCTGTTCATAAACTTCTGAGCTGATTCTGTACCTTGGCTACTGTGTAGTAATGCAGCAACTATGAGTGCTAGATCATCACTATTGTACCCTGACATCTTCCTTTGGCTGTGTTCCCAAGGGAGTCAGAGCTGAATTATATAGTGGTTTACTCTTAATTTTGAGGCATCTCAGACTGATTTCATAGTGGCTGTTACCAATTTATATTCCATCAGGACAGCATTACAAAAAGAAGCTTTCTCACATCCTCACCAGCATTTCTTTTTGTTTTGTTTTGTCTCCTTTATATGATATGAGATTGAATCTCAATATAGTTTTAATGTTCATTTTCCTGATGACTAAGAATAATTAATATTTTTATATGTATTCATCATTTGTAAGTTTTCTTTTGAAAACTGTTCAGTTCTTTTGCCTGTTTTGTTGGTTTGATGATTTAGGTTTGAGTTGCTTGTCTTTCTGAGTTCTTTATAGAGTCTAGATGTTAATCCTCTCACCAAATGTATAATTGATAAAGATTTTCTCCCATGCTAACTTGCATCCTACTTTGCTGAAAGGTTTTATCATATTGAAGATTTTTCTGGTTGAGTGGAGTCATATCATCTGCAAATAGAGATAAATTGCAGTCTCCTTTCCAGTGTCTTCATTTCTTTCTCTGCCTTCTTACTCTAGCTAAGAAGTCAAGCACTGTATTGAATAGTGATGGAGAAAGTGGAAACTATTCTAATATTTCTTATTTTAGAGAAAATGCTTTCAGTTTCTTCCCATCAGTATAATGTTGATTTGGCTTTTATTATGTTGATGTGTATTCCTTCTAGTCCTAGTTTCTTGGAGGCTTTTATGATAAAATGTTGGATTTTGCCAGAGATTTTTTTTTCTGCATCTATTCAAATGATCATGTGATTTCTCTTTCTGATTCTATTTAAGTATTGAAATACATTTGTTGGTTTGCATATGTTGAACCATATTCGCATCTCTGGAATGATCCAACTTGGTCATGATATGTGATCTCAGTGTGTTACTGAATCCATTTTGCAATACTTGTATTAAGAATTCAATTCCCTATAATCATAATGAAAACTGGTCTATAATTGTTTTGTTTGTTTGCTCTATCTTTTTCTGGTTTTAGCATCAGGGTAATACTAATAGCACAAAATGACATTCTTTCCCTTCCTGCGTAATGGATTCTTTTGAGGAGCATTGGTACTACCTCTTCTTTAAAAGTCTAATAACATTCAGCAGAGACTCCATCTGATTCCATCATTCTTTTTTGAGAGATTATTACTACCTCAATCTCATTTTCACTTATTACTTAAATTGCTTATATCATCTTTAATTTGGAAGTCGTGTGTTTCAAGCTTTTATTCATTACATTCCCTCTGCATTTTCTCCCTTCTTGGAATACAGGTTTTTGAAGTGTTCACTAATGACCTTCTGGGTTTGCTGATGTTTAGTTTCCCAAAGAACTAAGTTTGCTTCATTGATTCTTTGTATTCTTTCAGTCTTGAGTTTATTAATTTTGTCTCCAAATTTTTTTCTTTCTTACCCTCTAATGCTTTTAGATTTGGCTTATTCTTCTTTTTCTAAGTCTTTGACGTACATCATTAAGTTGTTTATTTTAGATATCTCCTTTTTTTGTTAAATGAATGCACCAATAGCTATAAGGTACCTTGTCAGCACTGCCTCTGTGATACTCCAAAGATTCCAATAAACTACACTTTCACTTTCATTTGACTCTGGTAACTTTAATTATCTTTTTTATTTCTGCAATGTTTCATTGGTCATTAAGAGTATGAGGAGCAACATAACCAAGAAATCTGGGCCCAGGGGTCTTTTCTGAGACTGATACTCCACACAAGGACCATGCATGGAGATAACCTAGAACCCCTACACAGAGGTAGATCAGTATCCAAGAGGCTTCCCCAGTAATAGGAACAGGGACAGTCTCTGACATGAACTCAGGGCCTGCTCTTTGATCACCTCTGCCTGAGGGGGGAGCAGCCTTACCAGTCCACAGAGGAAGACAAAGAAGCCAGTCCTGATGAGACCTGATAGGCTAGGGTCAGATAGGAGGGGAGGAGGACCTCCCCTATCAGTGGACTAGGGGAGGGGCATAGGAGAAGAAGAAGGTGGGTGGAATTGGGAAGGGATGGAGGAGGGGGCTACAGCTGGGATACAAAGTGAATAAACTGTAATTAATAAATAAAATACATTTTTAAAAAGAGTATAGTGTTCCTTGCCTCTTAGAGGCACTGCCGGTGTGGCTGCTGTGTTACACGTGTGTCAGTAGGTGACAGAGAGGAGAGAGGCTCCATGTCTAAGCTCAGTTTCTGATCTGTAAATGTCTTAACGATTAGTAGCTTAACACTCTCTGAAAAAAGCAAGCATGAGATGACCACCAATAAAGCACCACGGTGCCCAACAGGGAGCTAATGCCACCAGTCTGATACTTGCAGGCCTGGGGGAGCAGACCATACCCGAAATGAACCCTGCCTGGTGCCATGATGCATGGATAGGGCGTAGTACTGAGATGACTCCTGAGATGACCCCAGATACTCGGAAACCCTGGTAAGAAAAATGGTGAAGAAACGGGGAAAAAAGAGAAACAGAAGGATGCGGGCACAATGAAGAGCGGCAGACCTGGAGACTCGAGGGTAGGGAGGAACAGCCTGATGTGAGTAGCCAGTGATGCCACCTGGGACCATGCTGTGTCCTGGCCTGTGCTGCTTCAGGGAGCCACGTATGGGTCCATGTACTACCAGCAGCAGGGGGCTGTCACCACCAAAGGCCGGGCAGACACCCCTGTTCTGGCTGCAGCCCAGGGAAATGTTGGTGTCTGAGGGCTGGGCAGTGCTGGCCCCATTTCTTGCCTGGGCAGTGGGGAAGAGCTGGCCCTAGGGACATGAGAGCAGCAGTTGGCTCTGGCCCTAGCAGCTGCAGTATTCAGGAGAACAGGCCAAACACTGAAGAGACTGTAGGTGAGCCAACCCCAAGGGTATGAATGTGGGCGAGCTGGCCCTGCCACTCAACTTCTGTGCAGTGGCATGGAAGAGGGAGAGATACCCTCCTTGTCCCTCTCCCCTTGTCACCTGCAGCAGGTCATGGAGCCTTGCCCTGGGGTCATGAGATCAGGAGAGGTATCCCTGCCCCTCACCAGCTACAGCGTGCTGGAGAGCAGACCTAAGAAGCACAGTAGAGCTGACCCTGCTGTGTGTGGGGGGGTGGGGGGTATGTGTGGGAGAGCTGGCCTAGCCTCTTGCCTGCTGCAAGCGCTTGGGAGAGCAGGCCCTCTGCCTCACCTGGGCAGCACAGTAGAGCTGGCTCTGACGGTGTGGGCATGGATGATCAGCCTCAAGGGAAGGAGAGTGGGAGAGCTGTTTCTGCTCCTTGCTGGTACCTCATTGGATGGGACAGCTGGGGCAGGGCAAAAGAGCTTGCCCTGGAGATGTGGGTGTGGCAGAGTCGGCAGGCTGACCAGATCACACACCTCTCAGGCCCAGATCCAGGGCTTTGAATTGGCCCACCCCGTGGATGGAGTGCTGGAAGGCATGACGGGAGCTACAGATCCCAAACTACCAGATCTCCATGACACAGGGCAACAACTGGGTATCTGAGAGGAGGCCCAGGGAGGTTCCAGCACTGAGAGTGCCGCGGAAGCCAGAGGCCTGTACTAGCCCAACGAGTTAAAGCAATGAACATTTGCAAGCAAAGAAGTGTGGACAAAAAGGAGTACTGTGGGACACACTGCAGCTTTCACAACAACAACAACAATTTTTTTTTTCTGTTGGGGGTGTTGCAAAAGCGGAGAGTACGTATGAGAGGGGGAGATTTGTGGGGTTGGGATGTATGGTGTGAAATTTACTAAGAACCAATAAACAGTTATAAATAAATTTTAACGAGAATGTACTTGTATAGTTCCTTTTGCTATCAATTTCTAGTTAGTTGCATTCCACTATGATCTAACTCAGTCCATTATCTCTATTCTTTCACACTAAAGACTTGCTTCATGGCCTCCACTGAGACCTAAGTTAGAGAAAGTCCCATTGGCTGCTGGAAAGAACACAGTTTTCTGTAAGTGCCTCAATACGTTTTATGTATGGTGCAGACTGATTCTGAAATTTCCTTGTTGACTTAGTCTGCGTGGCCTACCTGGGTGAGAATAGGGAATTAAAACCATTTTGTCTTTTTGGTCCAGCCCCTTTATGCCATTAGTGTTTGTTTTATGAATCCAAGAGCCTAAGCATTTGGTGCATTGAAACTTGTTATGTCTTCCTGAGGAATTGTGTCTTGTATTACTATGTACAAGTAGTGTCTGTCTTTGTTTCTTCTGATTTCTTTCATTTGAAGCCCACTGCTTCAGGTATCAGAAAAGTGCTAGCTTGTTTGGGGCTTTTGTTTTCATGGTATGTTAAAGCCTCTGTCCTTTAACTCTCAATTTCTGTATGTCTTTGCCAGTGATAGTGTTATTTTAGAGAAAAACATAGTTAGCTGTCTCTCTCTCTTTAAGAAAGCAGCTTTTAATTAGAAAGTTAAGCCTATTTAAACTCTAACCTTATAAATGAGTATTTTAATGACATCATTGCTCTGGCACCTTTCCTAACCTCTACCAAAAGTGTAGGTAATCTGTTGTTAATAAACTAATCTTGGTATAAAAAAAACAAAAAACAAAAAACAAAACAAAACAAAAAAAAAAACATGAACCAACTCAACCCTCAGCTTGGGGTTTGTGTCTTGTGGCAGAAGGGCTGTTGGCTGCCTTTCCTGTTATAGCACAGTGCATGTTTCGGCTGCTTCCACCCTCTTCCTGTCCACGTGGCCCCAGCACTCACTGCTGTAGCCCCACTGCCAGCTATTTGTATCCTCTTGTCTGCTGAGACAACGCTTCTGGAACAGGCATTTATCAAGGGAGCACACAGGTAGATGAGGAGACCTTAGCTCATGTGCATCTGGGAGGGACAACTGGGCCATGTAGCCGTTTGAATGATGAAGGCCCTTCTGAGGCTCAGGTATGTGGAGTTTGGTCCCGGTTGGTAGCACTGTTTGGAGCCTTGCTGGAGAAATTACTGCGCTGGAGTCAGGCTTTCAGAGTTTATAGCATTGCTGTGCTTCAGTTTCCTCCCTCCTGCTTCCTGCATGTAGATGAAGAAGTAGCAGAGAGAAACCCTGCCTTAAAAAATACAAACATAAACAAAAACTAACAAACAAAAAAGGTTTGGTTCTGTATACTGTTCATCCCCAAAAGACATCTATGAACACAAATGGACATTTCTTTCTTCAAATAATGAAGTTTTTCTGCTAGGGTATTTGAGATACATGCAGAAGACATTTCACTGTGAAAGGGGAAAAAAGACCACTCAGGAAAACAAAAAGAACAGACGTTTCAGACAACTGAGATGAAAATTAGTGTGACTCTAACAAAAGAGATGAAACTAGTGAAGGCATTTAAGTAAGAGTGATAAAGATAATGAGACACAGGGTGGGTCTGTGTGCTGTGCAGACATAGCTCTACAGACATCTACAGACACGGCTCATTCAAATGGGGGTTTGGGAAAATGTCTTCTTTTATTTAATTTTTTTTGGAGACAGGGTTTCTCTGCGTAGCCTTGGCTGTCCTGAACTCACTTTGTAGACCAGACTGGCCTCAAACTCACAGAGATCTGCCTGCTCTGCCTCCCCAGTGCTAGGATTACATGCTTGCACCACCATGCCTGGCAAAAAAAAAAAAAAAAAAAAAAAAAAAAAAATTTTCTTATACCTAAGCTTAAACTTTCATGAAATGTCTAAAGTTGGTAAGAACTCAAACATGCAGTTGTGCACAATTCAATATCAGCATTTCAAGTTAGCACCCTTTATTCAAAGTAACACACCTTGGCCCACAGATGTTTTACTTCTAATACTTTAATTTCAACAAGCAGCTGCAAATATAACTCGCTCTGCCACTGCTGTGTCACAAACAAACCCTCCCATCACACTGGCGTGAGTTATAAGCACTACTGTCTCATTTACTCATGAGCCTGCATGTGTGCTGAGTGGCTCTGTTTGCGGAGCTGCAGGCTACGGGGATCCACCAGCCACATGACTGAGTGTGTGAATCCAGTCAAATGCTGATAGGTTGAGCTCTCCTTATGGCAAAAGTCAGATGCTCCTGCGACTACAAGGAGCGTCGATGTGTGAAACCTGGTAACTTTTTCATCTCAAAGCAAGTCACATGACCTAGTCCAACATCAGTGACAAACCTCCCCTACAGTTGTCAGTGGATAGAATGAATACTCACTGAACAATGACCTAATCCGGGATGCCTAAACGATGATGATCACCATTGCAAAAGACAAATAAAAAGGTGCTAAGAACGTTCCAGGCGTTTTCCGAAGGGGTTTGCCGCTCATGGTGTGGACACGGCCACCTAGGAAAAGAGGCCAGCTTGTTGTAACAGTTTGAATTGCTCCTGAAGTCACTGTTGGAGCCTGGAACTGTGGTTCATTTGGTACACTGTATGCCGAGCACTCAGGCAACCCTAGGTTCACTCTCCCAGCACGTCACAAATACGAAATAGGGGCACATGCCTACACTGCGGAAATACGGCAAGTTCAAATCCAGCCTGGGCTACATAAAACCCTTCAAAAAAGAGTCATTTTTACACTTTCTATAAAACCTAACTTTATACTTGCCTAGCTGAAAGCACTCCATGTTTGTTTGTGCTTGTGTACTCTGATACTGCCTAGATACAGAGGATCCTAAAAGCCGTCAACTCGGTGCTCCCCTTCTCTTTGTTTATTGGATCTGCATGTATTTAAAGGGGAGGCGAAATCCCCAGGGTCGGGACTGCAGAGACTATCACTCAAGACCATCACTCATCAACAGCGGCTGCTCTCCCAGAGGTTTGGCTCTCAGCTCTGCCGTCAGGCTCTCACAGCTGCCTTCCATTGAGGGTGGTCCCGGACCTCTAGCCTAGGGGTTGGTGTGGGGAACCTGCGCGCAGGAACATAATACACATAATTTAAAATAATAAAAATAAATCTCTAAAGGCCCAGGAATCCTTGAGGCTCCTGGGCTGGGTTGGTGGTCAGAGCCTAATGCTGAATGGGCAGCGCCATTCCCAGTAGTCACTGGGGTCCCAGCACAGGCGGGAGGCCCTGGCGTCCAGCCAGCTTGCCCTGATGTTTCAGCCAGCAGCAGAAAGCCACCTCACCTCTGCAGGCCTCCCTTACCATCCACGGATCCCCTAAAGGGTGTGCTGCATGGCGCCTTTAATCCCAACACTCAGTTTGGCAGGAGGATAACTACAAGTTAGAAGCCAGCCTGGTCTACAAAGCCGCCCTGGGACAGCCATGGCTGCACAGTGAAACCCTGTCTAGAAAAACACAAAGAACTGCCTTGGAAAGCCAGTGGCTGAAGCTCTACAAAGCAGGGCAGCTGTTGCCCAGAGTGTAGGCCTGAACCCCACGCAGGGTCCTAGATTTGTTTCCCACGAAGAAGGCTGCAGCAGAGGTCTTTGGGGACTTGTGGTGACCACTGGCAACAATGTGAGTCTCTCATCCTGTATTTTCTAGACAGAGCTCAGAATGTTGCCTTCTCTAGCTGGGTGACTGACGGACCGACCCACTCCAGCCTCCCACGACGGTTCGTTTGTTTTTAGTCTGTTTGGCAGTGGAATCAATTTCCTAACAAAATGATCTTTGGAGCCGCTATAATGTCCTAAGAACCTGAAGGTAGAGTTTGAACAAAGGCCGGAGCTGTAAGTGTTGCAATGCCTAGCAGGGGGAAAAAATACAAAAATACAAACCGACCAGGCAATAAAGCCCAGCAGCCAAACTCTAAACCGTTTGCTCAGCAAAGGCTCTGCCCTCTCCGGGGTGCATGCAATCCCTTCTTATGCTCCCTCCTTCGCCAAGGTCTTCAGAAGACCTGCCCGGCCTTGAGACAGCACCTGCCTCCGCCTCTCCGCCCGGTGCTTTCGGACCGGGCAGTGTTCCTGACCTCTCACCTCCTGGTGGCGCCCTTTGGAGCGGGGCGGGCCCGGGGGAGCCGGGTGGCCTCGGGCGGGCGCTCGCTGGCTCTCTCAGCCCGGACATGGAGCCGAAGGTGTCTCCCGGCGAGGTGCTCATGAGCCAGGCCGTCCAGCCGGCGCACGCCGACTCCCGCGGCGAGCTGAGCGCCGGGCAGCTCCTCAAGTGGATGGACACCACCGCCTGCCTGGCGGGTAGGCGCGCGCCCACGCGAGGGCACTGCCGGGCGGGGCGGGCTGCTGCTGGTGGCCAGGGCCGTGGTGGCGTCCGGGGCGCTGGAGCGCTGGAGCTGGGGATGCGCTAGGCTTGTGGGGAAGCCAGAAATGGCTTGGGAGAAGAAAGGAAGAGAAGGGACGGGAAGGGAAGGGGCAGTGTTCCCAGAGCCCTCGCAGTTAAGTGTTGCAGTGGAGACAGGAGTGATGACTAAGACAGTTGCCGAAGGCGACAGAGACCTGTGGAACTTCGCAGGACCCCCTTCAATGCGCAAAACAAAGTGAAGATCCCCTTCCCCACAGACGTTGTTATATAGATCGCTCATATCTTACACTCAACCATATTCAAAATTCTAAAGATTGAGTTCATTGGCCAGGTAGAAGTGAGGCTGGAAAAAGTGTTCACGCCGCAAGCAGGAAGCCCTGGTCCCCTCCCAGGCTCATGCACACACGAACTTGCATACACGCACACGTTAACGGATTTTCTTGACAAACAACTGTTACCGCCACAATAAAAGCGCTCTAACAGGACTCATCACAGCTCATGCTTTCACGGTGACTTACATGCTTCCCTGGTGAAAGACCGCTCCTTTGCCACATTCCCTTCTCCGTTCAGGTTCCTGCCATCAACTTTTAGGTAGTCAAGGGAAGCTTGTTAATATTCTTGAGAGCGAACAAGTGTGCAGGAGTGGAAGGTCTAGGGGTATAGTCCGTTGTGCAGGGCTTGCACGAGGCCCTTGACCTCCACCCCCAGCGCTGGGAGTGAGGGTGGGACAAAAACATCTAGGAAAGACTGAGTGGTGTACATGGCATCCCAAAGTGACAATTCCCTAGCGAGGCTGTCTTGCGTACGCAAGAAGCAGGGTTAAAGAGGGTAAGCGCACATCCCCGCCCCATGGAACTAAGGTCTGAAATCTCAGAAGCATGTGAGGCTACTGCAAGCGCCAGTCTGCAAATCAGGACGAGCTTTCAGCAGTCTAACGGGGCAGGTGTGGACCTTATAGCCTTCAGAGCTGTGAGAAACTAAATTTCTATTGTCCAACCCACCCCAGAAAAGGCAACTTGTCAGCATTGCTATGATTTATGATCTGACTTGGACTGACTTACACGTAGGGATGAAACCGCTTTTGAAGACAGCACATTATAATAGAAACAAATTTCTAACTGAAAGCCTGGGGTGAGCAGTCCGTGGTGTCCTACGCACATGCTGATTCCTCTCAGCATCGGATCAGTGACCTGAGTACAGCGCTGAGGACCAGTAAGCCCTGCCCGGCCTCCCTTCTGAAGGAAGGCTTTCGGTGTCCTAGTGCTGTCCTGCCTCCCTTCTGAAGGAAGGCTTTCGGTGTCCTAGTGCTGTCCTGCTTCCCTGGCTCTGTGAGCTACACACAGGGAACTTTACTTACTCCTCCGCTTCGGTGTCATCCCGTTTCCCCAGGGTTTGTAGTCTTTAAGCTCAGCCCCGGGGTTAATGTCCGTTACCTCTGCCTAGTCCCAGCTCCGGGAAAGCTGTGTTCAGATGAAAAATTAGACAGGCTTCGCATGCCTTGTGTTCCCATCACACTCCTTCTGCACGTGAGCAGAAGTAATGCTCAGAATGCCATGTGCCTCTGCTTTTCCTAGTGGATCAGTACAGTGCCAGAACACCCCATTAGTCACCTGTAAAGTTTAGCTACATTTTCAACGACAATCTTTTTGTTTGCTGATTTGTTTGGTTTCTATCTTAACAGTTTTAACAAGATTTTAATTGGGTTACAACAGTAACAAAGCATCAGAAATATGAAGTTTACCCACATGTAAATAAAAGAAACAAGTATGGAAATGATTGGTATTGCTGATAATAATGGTGTCTAGTTCCAAGGCAACTGAATGCAATTGGCATAACAGTTTCTAGTTTGACCTGTTCTGAAACTCAGATCATAGGAAGACTGTAGACAACCAACTATACTATGCTTGAGTAATTGTATTGCTCTTGGTAGCTTTAGAACTGGTAATATTACAATTATAAATACTAAAGAATCCTTATAATAGAGTTGCCTTGTGAAATACAAATAATGGCCGTGTTGGGCACTCTATGTAAATAAGAGACATTACGTAGCAGGGTACATTATTCAAATATGAAGTGACTAAATCTGAAGAGTAGTGCAAAAGCAGATTTTTTCTAGCATTGTTTCAGCCAGCATTCTGTTGACTCTGTATGGTTGTGTTTCCTAAGATGAATATGGACCATAGCCATTTCCCCAAGGCACTGCTATGTCCCTCAAGCACTGCTAGATTCTAAAATATCTTCACAGTATTTAAAGAAAAATTGAACAGCTCTAAACACATTACCATGAGGCCCCATAGCTGCCAGTGGCCCTGTTCTTTCAGTCTTTCCAACCAGATGCTTGAAACCATCACTAGGTCATGCTCAACCCCCATGTCCAATTTTGTTTGTTTGTTTGTTTGTTTGAACTTTCTCAAGACCACAACTTCTCAAAGCTGTTGGTGAATCTTTCTGAATGTTCACTTTTGGAGATTGCCCTCTGACTCACACACCTGTGCCCTCAGAAATCCAGGCCCCACCTTGGCATTCCCGCCACGCTGCTTATGTTCCACACATCTGATCTCTAACCCTTAGAGTTTGGGACTTACTCACGACACCTTAGAGGACTCTCTTGAGCCCAGCCCTTGCGCTGAACCTCCACACGACTGTGTGGTCCCTGACCCCATCATCCTGCCTTGTAGGCTGCACACTCTCAAACTGTTCTCCCTCTGTTCTGGTCTCATCTCTATAGTGCGTCTGAAGTGCACTTGGAAATTCCTAACCGCATTGTGTTGGACACTTTCATCTTTACCCTTTGTTTCTGTACAAATAGACCCTGTGAGCTCCTTGGAGGTCCTAGCAGGGGAACATGGCTACTCCTGTACCCTTGACTGGAAACCACTGGGGGAAGGTTGTCCTCTTCACCCCCGTGTGAAGCTTTGGGAGGGACACATGTGGAGTGGAGAGACAGGAAGGGGAGACTCGCCTAGCCAGCCACATAGCCAGCCAGCCAAATCGGCCCTGGTCGTCAGTGGGGTGGCATGCCGCAGCCAGACCTCCCGCACGTCCCTCTGTTTCTTTAGTTAGAAATCTACAGGTTTGCCAATTTGAATATCCAAAGGACAATATTTGAGGAAAACACATATGAAGGGAGGTGTTTTTAGAAAAAAAGAAAGCCACGGAGGCAAAGTAGTCCACATGTAATCCTGCAGATCTCTGGCACACTTTGAATTCTGTGTTTTTAGGGCAGACTCCAAACCTAGTAGAGAAGAGAGAAAGTGAGGAGCCATGCAAAACAAATACTTCGTAAAGAGCCCATCAGAACCCACTGTTTTAACAACAAATCAACAATGGCTCAGAGATAATAGAAAACCCTTACATACAATTAAGCAGGCAAGTAAGATTCATTCTTCAAAATCAATCAAGACCAATTTATAGATGACATTGATGCTGATTAAAATTCAAGGACTGGTTGGCCTGACTACATTAGGGTTTACAGCTAACTGGTCATAGCAGAGATCAGAAGGCAACGAACAATATCTAATAGTAACAATTCTAAAAGGATGATTAGCAAGAGTTTCCAGGCCCCATTCAGGGTCTGCTCTTGGCCTTCCCTTTAGCTCCATCTCACCCCTCCTTTTTACTGTCTCCATTCTAGCCATGGAAGCCTTCCTCAAGCTCACTGTAATCCTTCCCTGTCTGCCCAGCACCCTTCCTTTCTGCTCTCCTCCCACATCTATTTCACTCCAGCCTTTCCTTCAGATCTCAGCTTAAGAACCTTCACTTATTCCATAAGTCACGGGCTCCGCGTTTTCTTTGGAACCCCGAACTCATGTGTCATTGTGCAGCCATTTAATCAAGCTCTGTGCTTTCCTTTACACTTCATGGAAATGGGGATCATGTTTTGTGTTCCCAGCGCTGTGGAGAGGTGCTGGCCCAGCTAAGGGTTCAGTAGGTATTAGTTGAAGATAAGAAAGAATGAACCCTAGTCAGCCATAGAATATATGGCTTATAACCACTCAGCTAACCTGTTTCCAAATTCCCTTAGGAAGTCAGTAATCTTTCTGAATATTTCTGCTGTCATTGAAAGTATGAAGGATAATTGACACGTGAAAACCACAAGAATCTGGTCCTTTTAGTTTCTATCATCTTACTGGCACACAGTGCATAAGCACGTACAAAAGCAAGGAGCAGGTGTCAGCCCCTCTCGTACTGCCATCTTTTCTTTTGTTTATTGGTTCCTGCCAGTGTGTATTGGGAAGTATGGCTGTTGGGGTCCACATGCTGTGATGCTATCTCTGAAAGCTTTCTCAGCTTCATCTGCCCAACTCTTTCCTACAACTCCTATTTTATGTGGTCAAAAACCATGACAGCAATCATATATAGTGAGCCAGCTGAGCATGGTGGCACAGGTCTGTAATCCCAGCACTCAGGGAGGCAGAGGCAGGCGGATTGCTGTGAGTTCGAGGCCAGCCTGGTCTACAAAGCAAGTCCAGGACAGCCAAGGCTACACAGAAAAGCTCTGTCTCAAAAAGCAAAGTAAAACAAAACAAAAAAGGCCAGTGAGCCAAGCAAGGTGATACACACCTGAAATACCAGTACTCAAGAGGCTAAGGCTAACAGTGGGGGTGGCAGGTGGGGGTGGGGTATGGGTAGAGATCAAGAGAAAGGCCAGTCTGGGTTACAAAGTGAGTTCCTGGACAACCTAGTCATATAGAAAGACTTTGTCTCAAAAAAAAAGGAAAGTCAATGAAAATCTCTTTGAATTTTAACTGAATGCTTCTCAAAAACAAAGCTGGCAGAAACACACACTAACCTCATTTCCAAATAGCATAAATTGTAGTATTTTTATGTTAAGCAGAGCAATCATCAAACCAATTCTGACAAATGAGTGCAGGTATAGACCAGTGTCCGTTTGCAGCCAGCGCCCCTGCAGCCTTGCTCCTCCACTCAGTGATGCTCTTCCTCTAGAGCGCTGTTAGGTAGATGGATCGCTGCCGCTGCCGGGTAGGTATTGCTCCATGAGGAGCACAGTTAGGTAGATGGATCGCTGCCGCTGCCGGGTAGGTATTGCTCCATGAGGAGCACAGCCTGCCGCGCATTACATCTCTGACTCCCAGGGACACTCCCCTCTGGCGTGGGAGGTGATCTCAGGGCTCCCAGACTGAACAATCATGGTGATTAGTGATGTAAGTATATTCAGCTGCTAGATATCTGAGCAGTGGACGTAGCTTTGATGTTTACTTAGAAAAGGATAGCACTTGATAATAATGTAAAAATATTTAGAGTCATCCAAAACTTGCAGAGTTGTTACTCATAGTTACCAGATTTCCTAAGTTAAAATTCAGAGAAAGTACAGTAATCTTCACACAGTTGAACAACTTCCAGAGCAGAGGCCTGCTTGGAAATACAGGTCCCCAAAGTGGGCAGCGAGGTAACGAGTGAAGTGTTACTGAAACAAGTCTACTTCAGTTTATTTCTTTGTCCTTTGGCTAAAACGTTAATCACAGCTACTAACACGGCATACTCTCACCTGTTTTGTTTTGTTTTTTTTCTGAAGCTGAAAAGCATGCTGGGATTTCCTGCGTTACAGCCTCAATGGATGACGTTCTGTTTGAAGACACAGCGAGGTAAGTGGCATTGCTCCCTGTGGATTTACAGGTTCGTTTGTAACACGTGTTTATTGCTCCTGACTCATTTAGAGTCGATGATCATGTTTCTTAGAATACAAGAAGCACTGGACCCTCTCTAATGAGTTAAAAAATCCTGGTGTCTGCTTGTAGTCACTAGTCAAACTACAAATTCAGGTCTTGTTAAGTATGTCTCAGCTTAGGACACATTGTATGTCAGGCAAGGTTGCATTCTATCATTCATCCTCAGGGGCCTTTCTCCTATTTGAAAAGTGATAATAATCCGTATCTCTGTGTTGGTGTGGTGCAAACACTAACTCACATGTGTAAGTAAAATAAATCGTAAGGAGCGTTTTGTATGAAAGAGTGCTTGTCTTTTTAAATAAACGAACAGTAAACAGTTACATTGGAACCTGGTTTATCCTTTAATATGAAGCCTGGTAGCAAGTCAAAGGCCTGATTTTTAATAGGAAATGAACGAACAGGCCCGGGAGAAGGAGCTAATTGCCCACCTCTGGCAAGCTGACAAAGTTAGTTTACTCTAGTCATCGATACCATCAGAGATCTGAGAAGGACAGATCACAACAGGAAGTATAGTCCAAATGGCCTGTGTATCAGTTAAAATGACAGAGACCTGTCCATTCCCTAGGTGGCCACCCCCCAGGCTCCTCTGGTGTTGATGGCTTTACCGCAGAAGTCTCATCAGTCTTAGGCCGCCAGGCCCAGCAGACCGGCCAGGCTTTCCTGGGAGGCAGAACTTGGGGGACTGAGCTACTCTGTCTAGGCGGAGTAGGACACTCGACTCTGGTGTGTCTGCCTGTCTACAGTTTGCACTGGGTCTGGCTGGCAAGGCGCTGGGGCAGTTCCCCCATGCGCATTACCGCATGCAGGTGGAGTTGCTATGCCTCGTCTTCTTCGGAGACCTTGGGGTCAGCATTAGGAGCTGCGGTCTGTCCTAGCAAGCTTTTTTGGCAAGTCCGAGACAAGTTCAAGTCTATCAGAACTAAGCAAACTTTGCTTGTTTTTAGTTACTTGCTTTAGGCTTAACCTTGAAAATGTATACAGAAGGCTAAATAAAGCTTGACCTTGGAAATGAATTACATTTTTCACATGATTACAAGCATAGTTTTGAGCATATTAAAGAATATGATCATTTATATGATGACTGAATATTAATTTGTATTTCCTAATTATCACTAATATTTTTATAAGAAGTTAGCAGCTTTAATAGGATTTTACAGTTTTATCCCTGTTAACTTTTAGTTTTAGAACTTTTAGTCTTAAATTATAATTGTTTAATTGAAGCTCTCATAATATCAAAATAAAACTTTAAATCATAAGTATAGCCCAGAGAGAGACTGGGAATTTTATAAAACCATAAATATAGCTAACAGAGAAATTGGAAACCTTATTTTGTTTATTTTTTGATTCTTTATAGTAGTCCATTACAGAATATTATAATTTTGTGTATGACTTAGTTTATTCAAATAGTTAAAGCTTAATAAAGTTAGCAAAGACAGAGAGGCTAGACAATTTTTAAGTCAATTATTGTTAATCTGAGTAGGCATTAGAAATTTATAAGCCTTAGTTATCAAATATATTCTATTTACTAAACGTATGCTGTTTTTACTTATAATCTTCAGGACAAAAGTCATCATATAAAAATGTTTTAATCCACAGTATCTTGGGGACCTGTTGTTTTCTCCTTAGTCTGAAAGGGAGATAACCAGAGTAACTATTGCAAGTTACTATCAGCATGCAATAGCAAGTTAAGATTACCTATGTGTAGATTTTTAGTTATTAACATTTTTGTTACAAGTTTTAAGCTATTTGTGGAGGGGATGGAATTTTATAGGTTTCCCCTGCCCCCATCCCTTACAATGGTCTCATAGATCCTGAGAGAAAGGAAGTTTACATTTTAGCAAGAGTTTTGAATATCTGTGACCTTGAATGAAGGAACAATTGGTAATCAAGAATCCAGCAAGGGAGGAGAAGTCAAAGAGCTAGGCATCTGTGATTACACTCAGCCATATGAATTTTCATATACATTTTTTTTAAATCTGAAGTAGCATGAGATGTAACAGTAACAAATAAGTTTACCATTTGTTGTAAGAAATATTTTCTTGAGGAGGTGTCTGATAATGCCTGCGGCCTCTGCCCAGTCTGTGTACCCTCTTTTCCGTCGTTGTGTTGGTGGACCCATCCTTAGTCTTAGCTTTTAGCCTGTGTATCCTAGTTTCTCAGAAAATCTTGACACTTCATGCAATTAAGACCTAACTGCATATAACCAACTGGAAGGAGTAACTGGATTCTTAGGTGAAGGCTCAATGACCTTGCTTATCTCCCATTTTTGAAGGAATATTAACATTTAACAAGTCTAGCTCTGATTATTTTAAGCAAGCATATCTAGAGTAATTATTAAGAAATTTTAGATAGACGAATTTGTTTATTTTATAACTAGTTTGTGTGTGTCTGCCGATGGAGACAGGCAACTTGAAGAGCTTAATAAGTATTCTTTATCTTATAATGTCATTAAATTGCAGAATAATACGTGTTTTGTAACCAAGAAGTCATTAGACAGAAAACTATAAAAAACAGACATTTACAGGGACTCAGAAAATGTTGGCATCAGGTTGTTTGGTTTTCTTTATAGGTTTTTAATCATATCCAATAAGCCTGAAAACCTTAAAGTACAGAAAGTTTATATTTTAGCTGTTTCACTTTCTTGTTTTGTCCTAGAATCAGATGGCCTTTTGACCTAGGAAAGAGATTTTGTAGGAAATTTTTTTAATTTTTTTTATTATTATTATTAATTATACTTTATTCATTTTGTATCCCCCCATAAGCCCCTCCCTCCTCCCCTCCCTATCCCACCCTACCTCCCCTTTCTTCATGCATGCTCCTCCCCAAGTCCACTGATAGGGGAGGCCCTCCTCTCCTTCCTTCTGATCTTAGTCTATCAGATCACATCAGGAATGGCTGCATTGTCTTCTTCTGTGGCCTGGTAAGGCTGCTCCCCCCTCAGGGGGAGGTGATCAAAGAGCAGGCCAATCAGTTTATGTCAGAGGCAGTCCCTCTTCCCATTACTATGTAACCCACTTGGACACTAAACTGCCATGGGCTACATCTGTGCAGGGGTTCTAGGTTATCTCCATGAATAGTCCTTGGTTGGAGTATGAGTCTTTAGGAAGTTCCCTGTGTTCAAATTTTCTTGTTCTGTTGCTCTCCTTGTGGAAACCCTGTCCTCTCCAGCTCTTGCTATTTGCCACTTCTTACATAAAATTCCATTCACTCTGCCTGCCAGTTGGCCATCAGGCTCAGCATCTGTTTTGATAGTCTGCAGGGCAGAGGCTTTCAGATGCCCTCTGTGGTAGGTTCCTAGGTTGTTTCCTGTTTTCTTCTGGCTTTCAGAGGCCCTCTGTAGCAGGTTCCTAGGTTGTTTCCTGTTTTCTTCTTCTTCTGATGTCCATCCTCTTTGCCCCCCAGGATGGGGATTGAGTGTTTTAGTTAGGGTCCTCTCTTTTGCTTAGTTTGTTTAGATGTACCGATTTTAGTGGGTTTATCCTATGTTGTATGTTTATATGAGTGAGTATATACCGTGTGTGTCGTTTTGCTTTTGGAACAACTCACTCAGGATGATCCTTTCCAGGTCCCACCATTTACCTGCAAATTTCATGATTTCCTTATTTTTCATTGCTGAGTAATACTCCATTGTGTAGATGTACCACAATTTCTGCATTCATTCTTCAGTTGAAGGGCATCTGGGTTGTTTCCAGCTTCTGGCTATTACAAATAAAGCTGCTACAAACATGGTTGAGCAAATGTCCTTTTTGTGTACTTGAGCCTCTTTTGGGTATATGCCTAGGAGTGGTATGGCTGGATCTTGAGGAAGCGCTATTCCTAGTTGTCTGAGAAAGCGCCAGATTGATTTCCAGAGTGGTTGTCCAAGTTTACATTCCCACCAGCAGTGGAGGAGGGTTCCCCTTTCTCCACAACCTCTCCAGCATGTGTTGTCCCTTGAGTTTTTCATCTTGGCCATTCTGATGGGTGTAAGGTGAAATCTCAGGGTTGTTTTGATTTGCATTTCCCTAATGGCTAATGAGGTTGAGCATTTCTTTAAGTGCTTCTCTGCCATTCGATATTCCTCT